ATAATTAATTAAAATGTGAAATACATAAATAATTAATTAAATGTGTCAATAATTAATTAATTACATGTGTCATAACTATTTATTTAATTAATTAATTCCAATTTTAATTAATTATTGCCACATTTAATTAATTATTTAATGGTGTATTTAATTAATTCATTATGGCAGTCCTGGCATTCCATACAGTTTGGTTGTGTTTGGTAAACCTACCACTGGGTGGTGTAGTGGTGCTGTGAATTAGACATGGTGTGCTGATTTGCGTATGTTAAATAACACTGAAAACTCCCTTTGTTTATGGGAAAAAAGAATCACCTTACTCACTGGAGTTTGTCATTTTGTAACTTTGTTTCCATCCATTCTTCTTTTTCCACCAACTTATCTGGGCCAGATCACAGAGGCAGCAGCCTGAGCTTGGTGTTTTACATTTTCATCCAAAGCAACAATAAGACAAAGTTTTAAAGAATGAATTCACTAGTACACTTGCCAAAACAATTTTATTTCTTGCCAATAAAAGTCTTTTGAATGTCATGATTGTTGGATGTTGTGATTGTTCTTCACATCATAGAAATCTTTTTTTTTTTAAGTCTTTAAAAGTCTAAATAAAAACTGAAGTGACAGTGTATGAAAAATAAATGCTACATTTTTTTTGTACTAAATAATGGTCACAGGTTGATCATAGAAGTCACACAGTCTGTGCGTTCTGTGATCTTAAAAGCACAATCCTGATTTAAGAGAACATAGCATTTTCACATTATGGTCTAAACACATGGACCCAGAACACCTGTCATTTTCACAGATTCCTTACAAGTTTACATCCACAAATTCAAGTGTTTCCCATTGTTTTCATCTAACCATTAGCCATTAACCATTAACATTCCATTTATTAAGTTTATAGTCCAGCACCTAACAAAATGGCACAAACTGTTCAACATGTTTTCACTGAGATGCACATTTACAAGTGACAGTAAAAGAATGAAAACAGAAAGAAAAGGCAGTTGAAATCACATTCATCTTAAATACTGGGACAGCAAATGTCTGTAAAAAAAAAATGAAATAAAATAAAATATTATATATATAAATAAATATAAATATCCATCCTAGAAAATGTTCATATATCCCATTAAAAAATTATTGCACCTTTTTTCTCCTCCGTGCAATGATAGAATACTAATGGAATACTTTGTGACATGTACTAAAATCCCATCAGTATAACATTATGTGCTTATTAGAGTGCTCTTATGCTGCTGGCCCACTGAAGGTTAGATTTAGTAAACTCATGTTACTGATGTATTTTTGTGTGTACCAAATGTAACTGTGTTTCATTACACCTGATTTAAAGTGCACCACACATTCATAGATTCAGTTTTCTAGGCTAAAGTCACAGACTTCAGCTGTCCCAAAAATAGTAACTGGAAATCTAATCCCTTACACCCTGTGAACTACATTCATTCAAGTACTTTAATACAGAACATTTTTAATGTCGAGTAAATCCTGGTAATGCCCCTGGAGGAGATGTCTCGACATATAAACTCACTTGGCAATTATGCATCTAAAGGACATTTGGTCCAAAAATGAAAAACACACATACATACTCTTGACCCTTATATGGGTGGGTGTGTGTGTGTGTGTGTGTGTG